CCATGAACACAATCATTGAGTATGCTCAGGTCAAATATCTGTATGCTAACAACGATACTACATTTCACTCATAGCTATGCCTGAGTCTAACATTCAAATCAAAATGTAACAAATTAAAAGATAAGGAGTCGATAATAACAATGCTCGTATCAACGGCTCTTAAAGTTATTTTGGAATTGTGTTTCAAACAATATTTTTTATTTTTTTTGTTTAATTTTTTTTTAATCATGCTGTTAAAAATAATTTTTTTAAAATAAAAAAAAATATTATTTTGATTTATTTCCAAGTAAAAAACACTTTAAAAATTAACCATTACTACACTTCCAAACATCTTTTAATTTTGCAGAGATTGACAAGTAATGACAAGAGCATGACGAATATGAAATTTTGAGATGCCATTAGACGTAACTAGAAACATAGATTTACTTCTGCCGGGAATCACAGCCTAACAACAAAATTTCCAGAATGGTTGTTGTAAGTATACAACGTCGCGATGATCATCCACTCTTTAGGAAAAATATACATGGTCCATTTCTGGTAAAATATGAAAAGACAAGAAATTCTTATCCCTTATCAGTAGAAAATTGAAATGGAAGTAGTCACCTAGTGTTCTAGTCACTAAGAACTCTAACTGGTATAAAAAATGAGATATGAAAACTGGTTACGTAAAGAAAAAGTATTAGCACCCCAACTACGTCCAACTTAAGCTAAGCTACATTATTTTTTCTGATAAAATCTAAGATCTGGTTGTGGTGTCTAAAATTTATCAATCTGTCTACGGTTTAAGAAAAGTCCTCTTTTGTAAAGAGATCCTTATCTTCTCGGGTAAAAAACTAATTGCTTTATGTCATTAATAAAAAAATATCTTTTTAATATCGGGAGTATATTTTATGTATAATCCCTGATACTAAAACAAAACAAAAATTTTCTTTTATCATTTTTGAAATTTTGGTTAATGTTCTCTTAATTTTAATACTGGTTATTAGAGCCAAAATTCATGCTAAAATATTTTTTGGTGCATGAAAAAAACATAATATAATTTTTAGTTTTGAGACACTTGGCCGTATGTACAATTATTTTTTTAATTTTTTAATATTTTTTTATGAAAATTAGGTATTTTTAATACTGGATTTGCATTTTTTGGTATAAAATACAAATCGATATTAGGTAAAAAAAACATAAATAAAAAGTAAAGAAATTTAAAAAATTAATTTTTTTTAAATGGATTGGACTCGACCCAGATCATTGGACTCAGCCAGACCCGGTCCAAAACCACATGGGTTGGTTACTGTGTCTAAGTACAATAACCAGCCCTCCATCATTTTCTACAGACAGTGGCTAAGCAAAGAAAAAAAAGATGAGGTAGCTAGAGGTTACTTGGAGGTGGTGCACCCAAAGTGTGGTCATTAGCAGTGGTGATGATGCTGTTATCACGATAGCGGTGTTCGTAGCCAGCGGTGCTTCTCCTTTTTCTTTCTCTTCTTTTATTTTTTTTCTTTTTTTATTCTCTTGTCTCTTCTCTCTCTTTTATTTTATGTTGTTCTGCTTCTTCTCTTGATTCTATTCTTTTTTTTTTTCTCTTGGTTATCCTTTTTTTTTGTTTGTACTCCCCCTGTTTTTATAGGCAAAAACAGGGGAGACATATGGATAAGGTGGACACTGTGCTGCTGCCCCTCCAATATGTAGAAAGTGATCGGCAAGTCGGTGTCTTTTTAAATAAGAGATGACTTCTTCTTGAAAGGGGAAGTCCAGGGAAAGAAGAAGACCCATAGCGCTGTCAAAACCACATTGTTTTGGGCCTTTTTTTGTGAATAATGCATGAAACGATATTATTTTGAACAAAACATGTAGTTTCATTTTAAAGAAACAGCAAAATGTGTTAAAGCTCACAATGGTCTTCAATTTATAATTTATTTAATCAAGTTCTAAATTGCAATTTTAATTTGAAAATCAATGCGATTGCATCCCTTTTAAAAATTCAACGACCCTGAAGTTGACCGTCTTTTTCACCTTAATCCTTAGTTTTGAATTCATACAATTTAATTCTCAATTGATCAATAAACTTCTAATTTTTTTAATTGGACCCTAATCCGGTTTTAATTGCAGCTTCTATATTTACACGTCCTTTTCATTTTGGTCATTGATTTTGGATTTCTTCAATTAAATCGCTTATTGGCTATCAAACTTCAAAGTCTATACAATTAAACTCCAAATTTGACCAAATTAACACTAAAAAATTATAATTTAACCCCACAACTTTAATTTTTTCCAATTAAAATTCTAAATTGATTTCAAAATCAATTTTTCTTGCAACCAAATTCTCCATAAATTCAATTAAACCTTCAATAAAATTTAATTAAATCCATAAACATCTCATTTTAGACTTTTCTTCCTCAAATTAAATTTTTTTTGTCAATAAGACTCTTATCAGTCAATAAAATACTGTCAAATTTTACTCTTTATAATTTTAAATATCCTTAACCAATTTTTAATCATTTTAGAGTATTTTGACATCTTTTTTTTACTGTTATATTTTTTAATAATATTTTTTTATTTTTTTTGAAAAAAAAAATATCAATCGAAAACCAAACATAGGTAATGACAATGGCTATGGTACTCCAGTTTGCAAGAGCAAAAATACATCTAATTTCTAGGGAACAATTTCTCCCCAGTTGTTCCAAGATAAGCACTTCCTTCTTTCCAGGAATTTGCAGAACCTCGCTCCGTTTCTCTGGTAAATATTGAAGCATTGGATATTGAAGTTCCATGAAACTTCACTTCTTGGTTTCAACAGCTGTAGTTGCGTACTGTGCTGGCCGCAAATAATGTTAATGTAACTACCTCCATACAGCTCACTAACAGCAATCAAATCAGACTATTATGCGCTCTAGAAACATCGTTGACTGGTCCCTTGTCCAGGTCACTCGACTCAACTGGCCATGAGAGCTGATTCAGTTTTGAGATCGCCTATAAAATACACAAGATAGCAATAGGTCAAGTCACTGCCATAAAATCTCATGAAATTCATGATAAGGACTCATGAACCTCCGAAACATAAGAATATTTCTCATAATGAGCTGAAGTGGGATCTCCAGTTGACCTTGGATTTCTGCTACAACAGTTTATTACTAGAGGAGCCCTTCGTAGCTCAAGAGATTTTGCTAGAAATAATGGTTCACGGGAAGCAGTACTTACCTATATTGAATAATTGCCCAGATTACAGTATCTTCCTAGCTCTAAGATATGAATACATGAGAAAAAATGCCACAACAGCACCAAAAATTATCCCAGCTGTTGTTAACCAAAAAGCAAACTGCAATTCCAACAAAGATGTTATGGCACAACAATTAACCAGACCAGAATAGAATAATATGGAATGATGATTTTGAACTTCTGGAAGAAGAACATACCACATGCTCTTCAAGATAGGACTTCAAATTCATGCCAAATATACCTGCAGCCAGGAAACATTTCTTATGATAAGCATGCAAAAATAGATTCTCAGATAATTTCCTTCATGGCACTAAGTATCATTAACATAATAGCATATGTGACGTTATTAGACACATAAGAAATAAGAAACTTGTAGCAGTATTTCAGCATGATC